TAATTTTCATTTATTTTATATTATTTATTCATATATAAATTTTCGATTTGCGCTGTAGCTAGATAATTTATTTTATGAGAAAAATAATTTCTTCAGTAAGCTTCACTTAATTGGCATTTTTTGAAAAATCTATCCAGCAATATAAGGAAACATACCATGATTGAATAACGATTTTCAAAGCATGTAAGCTTTATATTTGAGATAAGTAGCAATGCTGTTTTCGATCGTTCCAAGTTCATTTGTTGATAACTTATGGGTAGGCATAAGTAACATAGGACCAGTATAAAAAATACCGCTACGTAATATAAAGCCAGAAGTCGTTTCCCTCTGAAAATTCTTATTTTTGTATTAAATAATATCTTTAAAGCTTTTGAAGAAGCTACAATGGCCGATATTAAGCATTTAAACAGGATAGCTTCTTTTTTTAGAATGATACTATCAAGTCAAAAGGCTAATTTTCGCCTTGCTTTGAATGTTTTTGAACAATTGAGCATCGAAGTTCCACATCTGAAAATTCTATCAGCACATATGTATAGCCTATCTTATAGAGGGTAGGAAATTAATCCTACTGGAAAGTGGACAAATCAGTGGAATTTAAAACCCTAATTTAGTCACAAGTAATTACCAAAGCACACAAGTTATGGTACCTGTACAGCTTATCTGGTTACTCACTAAACTAATTTTGTAGCAAGCGGTAAATACATTTTTTAGCGTGATGATGGCTTCGATAATGTTTTTATAGAAAATGCTATCCTTTTAGTAGTTTTTTTTTGAAAATTCACAAATTCTCAAAGCTTGTTTTGAGGTACATCAAATATTTTCGATTCCTTCAGTCGGAGTTTACGCTTAGCATCTCGTCGATTATTATTTCACAAAAATCATTCGAAGGGTTACTTTCTTGCGTAGAAGTCCTTGATAGTTTTTGTGTCAATGACTCGTTCTCTTCGCAGAGCATAACCAGTTATGAAGCCAGAAATTACCATAATCCTGAATTTGAGGAATCGACTTTTGAACCATACGGCTGTTCAATTGGGTACAAAAGAATGGTTGACTTACGCATCGGCTCCCACATAACCATTTGGAAAAAGATTGTTGTATGTATAAAACAATAGGATAAATATAATACTCCACCCACGAAGCCCTCGCACAACATCCCGTTTGAGAGCCATTCTAAAAACAAATATGGCAGTTCTGTCATGTACTCAAGCTTTAATGATAAATTTTTAGATAAACATTAATGCATTTAGGAGAATTAGCTAGTAGACAGCCATTTGACTCTTGCTAGTGTAAGAGTAGTGGACAGAGGTGGAAGTTGAGAAAATGCGGCAAGATAACTACATACGTCTGGAAATCGTTTATTGTCCTATCTCATTGAATCTACACGTCAGCAAAAGTGCAGGAGCGCTTTGAATTTAGAGTTTGAAAAAAAGCAGATGTTAGATAAGGATCTTACAATACGAAAGGTAGCAATCCTTTGAAGTCAAAACTCTCAAAACGTTGAAGGATCTCA